CWKSRGRKGMTGSKRRGRARKRAKGACAGTACTACTACTACTGGCACTACTGCTACTACTAGTAGTAGTAGCAATGGTTCATGGCAGCAGAGGCACACAGTGAATGTGAACTGCTCATACCACAGAGTGTGGTCTTTTCTACTACTAGTATTTGTGATTGTGAAATGTGAAAGAAGCTGCAAATATGTAAGGAATTGCATGGTGGGGCAGCATTGTTCATTAGATAATGGTTTGCAATCAGGTTTGCAATCCTTCTAATTCCTCAGTGGAGCTGTGTCGTGGGAAACAATAATTTTCTGAAAAACAAGAAACATCAGATGTATGTGAGATTGGTTGTGCACTCCAAAGGGTTTAATCATTCCAAATGCATATGAAGGAAAACTACMGAACATGATGATGATTGTTATTGCCATTGTTTTACTACTTGTGCTAGTAGTATGGTGCAAATACTACAAGGGAGGGCATTAAGAAATTGTGGGAGAAAAAGGGCTCCAACTAACTTGGCATTATACTGTACAAAACAAGAATGAATGAGACAAGTACAACAAACTAGTAGTAGTAGGACTACTGCTAGTAGTAATAGTTTGAATTACTGTGCTGTCAATAAGATATGATTGCAACCATCCACAGCAATCAAAATCAGCTGTTGGCAAAAATACTACCAGCAAAACTGACAAAAAACAACAAGAGGAAACAGGTTAGCAACAACAAAATGTAAAAAGGTGCATAATCTGCTGGGGAAAATAGTTACTACAGAAGGATGTTATGGGTCTCACCCAACACTTTTGTAGACTATATTTGTTACAAAATTTGTTGTCTTCTCGTTGTTGCTGATGGTTGTAGCAGTAATTTAGGAGTGCAAATGTGGGGTAAAAATATTCAGTGGACAAAACCTTTGTTTTTTCACCCTCTGATACAAATTCTACACAACCTTAACAGTCATCTTCTTTGTTCAGTACCAGCATGATTACATTATTTTTTAGCCATATATGTCTGGTGACTAGAAATAAATCTCACACTACTAATCATGGTAGCGGTACTAATAGTAGTACTTGTACACCTAGTGCTAATAATATTAATMATAATTGTAGGAGTATTGTTCCTAGTACTTATACTACTTATACTACTACTATTATCCTCACCAATATAGAAAACAAAACATCACGACCAGTGAGAAGCTTCCAGATGAAGAGTGATGTTTTCCAGCCATACTAGTTTTTAATGCCATTCTACATTTCTTTTGTGGCATTGGTGTGTTGCCTTCTTATTGTCCTTCTTTAGTATTTCAAGAATATGATGCTTACTAGGGTGGAAWTATGTTGCTATCTTTCTACCATTTTACAGTTTTTGTTAGTTCTTTGGTCTCAAGAATAACTACTATGGTGTTTTTGGCTTGGTAGTTCTAGTAGTACTCGTAGTATTCTTATTTTTTTCTCCAAATTTGTGCTTCTTGTTGCTTGTCATCAAATTCATTTTGTAGCAAACCTTTGCATCATGTTGTCATAATTGAGTCACTTCTCAGTTCTTGTTAGTAATGGTAGCAGTRCTGGTAGCTATTATTCCTACTACTGGTAGACATAATGAGGACTGTCCAGTGACTCCAATATKATTGCTGTCTGGATATGATAGTCATGATATAATTTAATTTAATCCCCAGTAGTAAAATATGTAGTAGAGTCAGTACTACAAACTAGGAAGGTGCATGCGCATGATTAAAATTAATTGTTCACACAAGAAAATACACCCTATTAAGACGGCAAACACAATTTTGACAATTGTACAGTGCACCTCTTTTGAATACAAATGACCAGGATAAGACAAAAAGCTATAAAAATTTGAAATATAGCCTCAAAATAACTTGATCTTAGCTATCATATGCRAGTCATCCCCCATTTGAAGCCTATTGGTATAGAGTTGACTACCAAATGTACAAACCAGTCGTACATTTTGGGCCATCTAATTACCATGTAATGACTTGTGGGATTAAAAATTTGACTTCTTGTACTACCGATATAGCAGGGCACGTGCTGAATTTTTCAATCTTACATTTGTGTGACCAGATATCATTGCTCACATGTGCCCTGCTGTACTGGTAGTAACAGTGAAATTTTTAATCCCACRAGTCATTGCAGAGTGATTAGATGGCCCAAAATCAACACACYGTACAAAATACATGTAGAGAGTTAACTAAGTGTCACCTCACATGAACAGCTATATCTTGGTCCCCAACCATGCTAGTAGTAAGTATGGTAAGCACATGAATCAAAAGTGATTTTAAAGTGATTTTAAACAGGATTCTAGTAGTGTRGGGGGATAGAGGGTTAACAAACAACAGGTATATAGCACTGTATATCTGAAGTAAAAAATGTACTGGAAGAATGTAGCCAAGCCTATACGATAACTTTATAACACATTCAAATAGTATAGTAAACAAGAGCAATAAAATTAAAAAAGAACCATTCAAATCAACCAAAATTGAGCTTATTTCAGTATTAAGTTGTTTAGGGGACGTTTATTTGYGGACTGAGGAAGTAGTTGGTAGTACCTGTTTTGTACAAACTCCTAAAAGAAGCAAAGGATAAGAAGAAGTTAATTACTACTATCCGTTGTGGATCAATTGAAATCATTTTTCACAGGGAATTCCAAATGTTAACTTATCATTCAGAATGTTAGCACTGGTGTGTGCCTTCCTAGAAATGAGTTCTGTGGTTTTGCTTGAATTTAATGCCACTTAAGAACATTCCAAATGTTAGAAGGCAAGGCATCCTTTTTCCTCCTCTTTTTCAAGGAAACAAGACCAAAATTATTSTTTTTGGATGCTGGCGTGCAACCAAATGAAGAATGGGAATTATACCAGGATCTACATAGGCCTACAGTGATATCATAGCACCAGCAACCAGATCTACAATACAGTTGGTGATTTTGGGCCATTTCCCCCCTGTAATGACTACTTAGAGTAAAAAATTAAATACATAGTACTACATAATGCACATGCTCCTCAGTGATGCCAATACATAATGCAGGTGCTCAGTACTACCAGTGCACTGAGTTGAATTTTTAATTTTTGAATCCTGTGACCAAATAGTTTTGCTTGCACCTGCTGTTGCTGTAGCCCTAGTAGTACAAGAAGCCAAATTTTAAATCCCAGAGTCATTACATGGTAAAAGGATGGCCCAAAATCCACTCATAGTACTAGTATAATTTAACCATAACTGTTTTAGTCTTGAACTGACAGTTTGAGCTGTATYTTGGTCCCYAACATAGGACACATAACAACATTAAGCACATGCTTAGAAAGAGAATTAAGAGAGCTTTCTAACAGCTTTCAATTGATCCRCAACACATAGTATTGTTCTTGGTAGATATTTTCAAAGAGCGATAAGTACTGGTGCAATTATTTTATCAGAACAAAACTGAAGAACAAATTTCTGAAAAAAATGTCCTAAGGTGCATGTATGATGAGTAATACCTGTACTACTACTACTACTACTACTACTACTACTTTGTTCATCATGCTTTGGTTTCTACTAAGAAGGGGTAGTAGGAATAGTAACAAGAATTCTTCATACTAAAATCAACAGTAGTAATAATGCAGTCCTACTACTATTAGGGGCTAATCATTGCTGAAAACCTGATAATTTCTGGTGGTAGTGTAATCTATTGTGACTTGACTGGACTAAATTGAACAAGAAATTGTTAGTGTTGTTCATCCTCCTCATCATAGTTCAGAATTATTGAGAGGCCTTCAAAAATTAGCATCCATCAAGCAGAAAACACCGATACAAGCTATTACGGAATCTACTATATGAATAGATGCAACTAGATAGTATTGTTGCCCCATGAGCAAAGTGGTGGTATTCAAGCAACTTTGGCCAAGTTCATTGTCACACTTTTACTAATTACTAGTGACAACATGGGAGCAGGTGCTTGGAGCAGATGTTGCTGTATGCAGGGTAGGTTGATGAAGAAAACTCATAATATATATTCAAGCTAAGGTGGTATTGTGAGACGGAGCAAAGATATCTTAAATAGAGGAGGATTGTTTAGATTTTGACAACAGAGTTCAGCAAACAGAGCRTTTTCTATCTCAAATGATTCTAACACACATTTCACTTTAATCGAAACTCTTCTCACTTCAAGCAGCCCTGACTTTCTCAAAACTGTTTCTGAATCTCGTTATCCAATTTTGTAAATTCACATAAGTATGTTTCTAATGGACTAGGGATATACCGACTGGTGCTGCATTTGCAAGCATCGCCGCTATCAGCTGTTAAAGTATAAACGCGTAGTTAGTGATATCTTTTCGCCAGGTTTGGACACCATATAAATCGTAAGTTGGCATGCATCCCTTCCCCGAAGTTCTCGATTATCCACTCTTGAATAAAAGAACTGCAACTTGCCCGAGATAGAAATATATGAAGTGTTTTGTCTCGTGCGTGACATAGCTCCCAAAGTTTCGTCCAACAATGACATGCCTGTGTTGRATTGGTGTCAGAAGAATATTAAGTTAGGAAAAAGAAGACATTCGATAGAGCAAATTTTTCCGAGGACAAACTGAACAAAATGCTTACCATGTGGGGTTGTATTTTTTGTCAAATTCTTTCTTGATGTGAGCAGCAACATCCTGACAATGGAAAGAGAAACAAGAAGTGAGAAGAAAACATGTCGACGAGCAAGAAAAATAGCGATCGGGCTAAATCTTTCATTCAGACCTTACCTTTTCAATGTTGTATTTCGACAGAGCCACTGAGGCAATATCTACTGCGTCTTGCTGCATGCCCTCCGACATATCGGCGTTTTTAATCACCGCTTTTCTCTGCTCCGCCATTTTGGAATCGATCTCTGTAATGGGAATCGGAAATGACMCTGTCTAAAAATAATGCAAGCAGTATCCGGGKTGAAAGCGTTTTCAAGCAAACAAAAATAAACGAAGAAAAGAGATCAGCATCCGATTTGCATTATAGGTGGACGGGAGAACAAGACGGTACGCAAACTAGCAAGGCAAGGGGACTKCAAAATCCGAGACCGGAGTTGGTGTTCTGAAGSAGGAGGAGTCGTACCCTGGATTAGTTGTCGTTTTATTTAACGAAGTCAGTGACCCCGCGAACCTTTTTCTCAGGTTTGGTTGTGACAAGGAGGAACTTTCTTCGACTGTTATAAAGTCAACGCGAAGATATTGTGTTCTTACGATTTAGTGAGGCCGTTTTGAAATTTCGACCGTTGCATCATTGTTGATGTTGTCGTCTTGCTCGCTGAAGTCTCTGAAAGCACCTCTCGAAATAAATTTGTAAGGTTTGGGGGCCGCGGGAA